TGAGCTGGTCCCCAGCAATCTCGTCCACATTTTACCCCACAGGATACTTGATCGTCATGTGGTATGTAGGCACAACCGCTTGGAACGCGTTCAAACCTGTTCGCCCCAAGATGATATTGTAGGACCACTCTGCACCAACCACTACAAACCGCACCATCCTCACCTTCCTGGTGCCGCCCGACCCTAGCTCCACGGTTAGATTCACTTCGCCCATTGGCATGACCTCGCCTCCATTAAAATCGTACAGGGCTGTCTCCACTGGTTTCAAATCCAGATTAAAGTGTTTGTTAATCTGCGCGAAGTAGTCATAGAACATTACGTCGACCGATCTTCCAGTGCCGACGAACACCCTCTTCACGTCGAACCCCACTACCTCCGCCGTGATGACCAGCGCGTTAATATGGGGTAGTAAAACCCCCTCAGCATCCTCAGCTCGAAAGATAATCATCGGCATTCGACCAGTTATCCCGACTTCCTATCTCTTGTGCTTTATGGATCGTACATGCCCCTTTCGAGCATTGTTCGAATCCCCATCCACGGGCCCTCCAGAAATCATAAATATTGTGTCTCTTTTCGCGGGTACCTCCACCCACTGCTCTTCTAGAACATCATTGCCTCGTCTCTCTTTTCACTCCTTGCACCGTCCTCCCCGTCATCATCCCTGTCGCTTCTTGCCACCGAATCCTCCCTACACCTCATTTTCTCCTTACCCCGTGGTCGATCACGGATAATGAATTCCTTCAAGTGTCCTGCCCTTATGAGCCACTCGATCTCATCTTGTAGATGTCTACAATTCTCCGTGGTATGTCCGTAATCCCTGTGGAATCTGAAGTATCTATTCGGGGCTTAGTCGGTCCTTCGAATCTCGTTGCTGGCCATGTGACCTCCTTGCTTTCCAATTTCTCCTCTATCGCCGCCAAGAATTCCTCTACTTGGGCGTTTATGGGTGTGAAATTATTATATCTCTGGTCGTTGGGTAGCTGGGGTCGTTCTTGCCTGTGATCCTCTCGCCCTCCGCGGAACGAACTTCGCCCGTCTTTCCTGGGCGACAACCTCTTAGATGAGCCTCTCTTTGGGGAATTCCTTCTAGGAGATCTCTTTTGGGCGAAATCGGCCTCTCCTTCTTTTGCTCAGGCTTCGCCACCTCCTCGAGATTGGCGAACTTAGCCTCCATCTCTTCCAAATTTATTTACTTCTTGCATCTCTTCAATACTTCATCATAAGTTCGAGCAGGCGTCTTTGCCAACGCATCCGACAAGGTCCCGGTCGCAAACTCCTGATCATGCCTCCCGCCTTCATCTCGTCAACCGCCTTAGGCACTTCCAAGCACATTTGATTAT